TGCTCTAAAATTACTTGAGAACTTTCCGGTTGCAATCGACTGTGTTTTCTTTGATCCATTTTTTTAGATTGAGGAAGATTCCCCTACCTCCATTTTCTGTTGAAGTTTTTGCTGATCCGTCTGTATATGCATGAGTCCAGGTGTTACTTGGGTATTGTTCTTCTATGTAGTTTAATGTGATTTTCCTTCTTTCTGTTTCATTATGAGTGTTATTTTTCTCAACACCAGGAATATTTTCTATCAATTCAGGCAGACACTGCTGTTTCCAAGCAGGGAGCGTATATGTAATGTGGACGGGTTTGGATACTGATAAGTTAAGTACAGGATCTCCCCTGATTTTAGTTTGTGCAGTCTCTACAAAGTTTTTTCACTTTAGTCTTCCTCAACAGCTCCCGTGTGTATAGTTTTTACCTCTCTGTCATTTGACATTCTCTCAATATGCCCAAGCCATCTGAGTCTATTAGATCTCATGATGCCAGTGATCATTAGTGATTTAAACAGATTACAAATTTTGTAGCTGCTTCTCACTTTCCATTCCCCGCTGTTTGCATCTTTGAGGGTCCAAAGATTTGTCATAATACAATTTTTTTTAAATTTCTAATGATGCTTCATCTCTTTTAGTTGTGCTCCAAGTTTTTTCAGAATGTAGGATGATTAAATAAGTATATATATCTCTCTCTTCCTGGTTGGTGTACTCTCTGTTTTAATTTTTCTAATTCCCTGTCAACAACCGTTTTTCTTCCCACTTTCCCTAGAAGCTTTTTATCTGTTCCCAGGAAATACATCGGTTCTGTAGAACCCCATTTCAGAACCTCAATTCTACATGATAAATCAAAATTATACGTCATACACATACTAATATTTCGTATAAAGGATTCTGTGGAAATTAGGAAACAAAGAAACTTGAAACTATGGGAAAAACAACTTACAATGTATGGATGGAAAAGTGAGAAGAACTGAAGCACTATCATTGGTTATAACCAAGGAACTATTTCCAACCCTTGCTACATCCGTGTCCTTGGATACTGACACTGTACGAGCAAGATTGTTGCCTGAAATGAAATGCACAAATTTAATATATAAATATACTTCAACGAATAAACAGTGAATACCATTAAAAATGTATCAATAATCATCGGCTGTAAAACTCAGCAACAAAGTTTAAAAAGTTAGTGACTTCACTGTAATGGGTTTGATCCCATATGGCTCAGTCACTCTCCACACAATGGCAAGCCACGTGCTAACTAACAGTCTTAGTTGAGGTTTCAACCTCATTGCAATCAGATCACCCCCATACATGCTCCATTCCTGTGCCAGTGAAAACCAAATAAAATGTCCCTCATTGTCAACTTTGAAAAACTGGTGAACAACAGTCCTGGCACAATCTAGAAATATGCACATGCAGTAAATGCATAAGCTAGATGTGCCACAGCCAACAGTCATCACCAGAAATGCAGTCTGTCGTTGCAGAAAGTAATTTGTCACAATAAGCTGGCTATACACATGTACAACTATTACATAAGGCAGTGTTTCCCAACCTTTTAGTGTGTCCTGCCCCAACTGAGCCTTTCAACAAACAAAAAATTTGTCCACTGTGTAACATATACATAATTGTATTGTTAATGTCCATTTTCTATTTTTGAATGTCCCTATTTAACAAACAAACGAAACTGCCCTCCTCCCTCCCAGTGGGGCATGGGCCCCATGTTGGAAACAAATGACTCATGTAAACCAGTCACACTGAATAGCATGACTCAACCACGGCACAAACAAAACAATGGCAATCTACATTAAAATTCAAAAAAAAATATTTTAACTCACAGTGCTGCACCAAGCACTAAACTAAGCAGTTCAGGCAGCAAAACCATAAATTTCCATCCATTTCATATCTGGAAACTGCAAGAGCAATGCTTAACATTCTGTCATGCCTAGTCCTCCATACTGGACCAGAAGAAGGCTCTCCTTTCAACTACGGCCGGTAGACAACAGTAAACGGTCGGTTAGTCGGAGTTCTGTCCCCTGGCTGCAGTGCAAGTACGGACTGGAGAAGGCTCGAATCAAACAACAAAATGAGGTCGAAATGCCTGGCAGAATCCGCGCTGCGCGACTCAACTTAGCGACCGCGTTCAATTACCGCTTCTTGCGACGCATTACGGAGTGGATTAGAGGGAAGGACACAAGTGACATAATTACTGTGTGTTAGCGATAGACAGCATGCAGTGCCCTACTG